GTCAGCCCCACATAATGTGTGGCAACATGGCCCAAATAAAGAGAACAGGGGGCACCTGTGTAGCATGAGCTGGCGTGCCCTTGTAAATCACCTGTGAGTCCTCTCACATGGGGAGGATTTCATTTTGGGCCCAAGAGAGCTGCTTTTCTTGGCTGTGTGGATCTTTAAATTTGTGTATATGTATAGTAAAGCCTGTTTGTTTGGAATTTATACCACCTGGAGGCACAAATTACCTTTAGTTCTTGCTATCAGAACTCTTTAGCACCAACTGAAGCCAGGATAGTACCCCTCAAACAGCCCAATTCTGCAAGGCTTCCGAACCAGAAAGATCAAAGCACCCCAGTGCACTTGTAATTTAGCATATTTGATTTGAAAAGTTAGTTTGTGTCAAATATCGAATGAAACACACTTGTATAAACAATAGTGGCCTTTTCCTTGTGCAGTGTAGGATGTAGTCAATCATTTGGCAATTTGATTTTGGCACACTATGAACTATTTATTTGTTAAGCCCCATACTCTGAGCTACAAAAGCTTGGAGAGGATTTTTTTTTTCTTTTACAGGAAACTATTAAATTTACAGGACCTGATGTTTATTTCACAAACTTGTACTACTGTATTGATAAATATTTAATGGTACTGAGCTCAATGGCTATTGCCTTGTACATTTCATTTAAATGTTTTAGTACTCAAAGTGTGAGTGGTCCATTGAAGAAAGAAAAGAAGGGAGGAAAACCTTTGCAAACAGACATGACATGGGACTCAATTTCAATTTAGAGCAAAGAGAGGAAGAAGAAAAACAACCAACCAAATATTTTTTTAGGTCCTGACAGATTATAGGCTAACAAAGTTTCCATTCAGAAAAAAACATCTGGAAAACTCTATGAAAAATTACAGAATTGTTTAAGTTGAAAGCCCTTTAAAATGCCACAGATTCATAATTATTTTGAAAAAGAAATCTAGACAGGTGATGATGTAAATTGTGACGTTTTTACAAATGGTTTTGCCTTAGTTTATTCAGTGGGCAATGGTGGGAATAAGAGGAAAAGGGATGTGAAATGAGAAGCAACTTCAGTAATAGAGAAAGTGGGCATTTGAGTAAATAAATAAAATGAAATAGAAATCACTGAATGAAAAAATAACGAAAAAGAAAAGTTAGTTTGCTTTTCAGGAAGACAGTCCAGCAGATGTCCTAGTGAGGTGTCTTATCAGTATTTTTCCCAAGCTTATAAAGCATACTTAGAGCAAAAGTTATGATGAATTCAAAAGAGGGTTGTTTGAAGGAGAGTGGGAAGAGAACCTTTTACTGACTATAGACTCCTTGGTTCGAATTATCCCTGAATTGTAAAAATAGCAGGGAGGATGGGTATATAAAAATATAACCTTGAGAGTAGTTTATCTTGTCTTTCAGTTTGAACAGAGGGGCTGTTTGAATCAGAGGAGATAACAATCTTGGGGTTTAATGGCCAGGTACTTCTCATAAATTGTGGAAGGCCACAGCAAAGAAAAAGAAAGGCCCCTTTTTCTGTCCAACAGCTCCTTTGCAAAGTGACTCATTGTCATCAGCATTTGGTAGGTGGTCAGAATTTACATTGCAACTACCCCTAGTTGCTGAGGGGCCATATGCAACCTGGATCTGAACAAATCAAAGCTGTGTGTTTTCACAGTTAATCCTAAGAACATGCCTGTGAGGAGGATATTATTGTCCCTATCTGACAGATGAGGAATCAAGGCTGCGAGACGCTAAGTGTCTTGCCCGAGGACACAATGAGTAATACAAAGTCAGGGCCCCAACTCAGGTTTGTTTGAGTCCAGGAGTCGTTCTGCCTCTATGTCTCAGATGTGTTCATTGGCCAGGGCTACAATAGCAGAGTGCCAGACACTGGGTGGCTTAGAGACCAGGTGCATCACCTCCTAGTCCGGAGGCTAGACATCCAAAGTCAAGGTGTTGGCAGGATTGGTGCCATATGAGGGAAGGATCTGTTCCCTGGCTTATAGATGGCCATCTTCTCTGTCTCTCTAGGTCATCTTCCCTCTGTGTGTCTTTCTGTCCAAGTTCCCCCTTTTTAAAGGACACCAGTCATCTTGAATTAGGGCCCATCCTAATGAGCTTCTTTTAACTTGATTACTTCTGCCATGACCCTTCCTCCAAATATGGCCACACCCTGAGGCACTGGGGTTAGGACTTTAACATATAAATTGGGAGGGGAGGAGGCACAGTTCAGCCTATAACATCAGATAAATCTAAGGTCACACACAGCAGCTGTGCTGTAGACACTTGGTTTACAGTGACAGGACTTTTCCTATTGTCCCTCATAGTCTTTGTCCATTTTATTTAATCTGTTAACAGCTGTGAACACAGCCACCTTCCAAGGGGCTTGCTCACTGGAGGAGCTTCAGGTCAGTAAAGCATTCAGTGGGCTCTAATTTAACCAGTTACTGCCACAACTTCTTGGTAACCTGGTTCCTGGCTGGCAGAGCTGAGAGGGGCCTTATCTCCTCCGTGACTGTCCCCTCCTCGATGCAAGAAATACTCTCCTTTCTCGGGCTCGCTAGGTGCCCTTGCCTCTGAGCTCCCAACTTCAGTTTTCTCGCAAAGCTCCTCTATTACATGACATGGCGAAGGACTCCTCACCGAGCCTTTAGATCCCAAGGCCAGCATTCTCACCCCTTTAATGCTCTGAAAACTGTTCTGACCTCAGTGCCTTCTCACACACACCCTTTTCCCAAAGAACAACTTTCTTTACTGCAAAACTACAAGCACTTACTTAACAGCCTGGCTACTATCAGAAGCTGAACTCATTATCACTCAGACCTTAGCATGTCATCTCTAGGTGAAAATGTAGCAGTTTTAAACCTAAGCAGCTAGAGACCTAGGAACAGGCTGCTGGGCCTACTTCCTCCCCCTCCCCTGCCTTTTCTCCAGCCCCATATGCCTATACATAACTTTCCAAAGTTTTTTGCAATTTAAAAACTTTGGAACATTGCTGGATTAAATAAACAACTAAATATTTCAAGTTTCAAGTTCACCTAATTTTAGCTTTTATTATAGAAAATCTATAAAGTAAATTTAGAACTGTTAATATAATATCTTGTGCTTTGAAGCACATGATATATTTCCTAAAATGAGAATGTTCATAAATGTCAATCTAAGAAATGCTGGCTGTTTACTTTTTGATTATCATTGGAAAGTTAAGGTTTAGAAATTGTATGGTTTTAATAATAGAGGACATAAGGCATGGACATACATTTTTAAAGGAAAAAGAAAGTAAGAAAGTTGTAAGAATGTTTATGAAAGTTGTAATAAGATTTGTGAAAGTTATAGAAGGTTTGTAGAGAGAAATATTAAAAGGAAATTATATAAATAACACAGGCTAGTAAGCCAGAACAAGCAGAATAGGGAAACAGATAGTAAAACAGCAGTCCACAGCAATCTAGTAAATCCTATCTTCCCTAAACCAAGGGCACTTAGGAATAAATAGAGAATAAACCTCATTTTGGTATATTAGACTACAATCCTCCAAACTAATGTTTCTTTCCTTCCATCAGACCATTTGTCATAACTCATATTATTCTAGCTTTTACCCCAGTAATACTAAAATGTATAAAACAGTTTGTCTCCACCAGGTTACAAGCCCAACTTATACTCAGGAAATACCACCCCTAGATACCATCACTACTACCTTTTGTGCCCAGGCCTCATCGTCCCCCTGGCCCCCAGAGCAAGGACAATATGCCAAGTACAGATGTAAAAACTCACCAAAAAAGAAATCTCCAGAAGCCTACCAAGGGACAAAACTAGAGAAAACAGGAACCTCACCCCCAGGGTAACCTACCTTTCCATTAGCCTTCCTGGAGAAAAAAATAGCCCCGATCGAGTATCTGCCGAATGACTAATAAGTTATATACCCAGACTTCCACTTTCCTGCAGATTGTTAGTGACAGCATTCCCCCGCCTGGCGCAGACTCTCCCATCCAAACAGTGCAAATTATTTTCTAACTCATTACAGACCTCCGGCTCCAGGGCAATTTACAGGATTTCTCTCCAGATCACCTCTATTTGTTTACCTGCATAGTGAACCTCGCAGATCTCTTATATTCCTAAAATAGTCCCCTACTAGCCCTAGGCCAGGGGTGGGCAACCTTTTTGTGAGTGCGTGCCAAAATCAGCAAAATCTCTAACTCAAAATTCTGCTGCGTGCCAACCCTAATTTTTTGAGATCATGTTACGCCTACTTGATATCTCTTAAGGTGTACATATGTGAAGAACAT